CGGGGCGGCGCCCTCCGCGCCCGGGGAGGCGCGGGTCTCTGGGTGCCGGGTCCGCAGCAGTGCGTGGAGCTTCCGCACCTGACCCCCGGTGGGGCGGGAAGCACATCTGTGAGACGCTCCCGGAAGGGCGTCTGACACGCTGCGCCCAACCTGAGGAACAGCTCTGAGGGAGGCATCTGGGGTGGCCTGAGGGACGCAGGGGGACCCCAGAGGGGGGACCGCAGGGGGGACCGCAAAGGGGGACGGCAGGGGGGACCGCAGGGGGGGACCGCAGAGAGACCCGCAGAGGGGGGACCGCAGGGGGGGACCCCAGGGGGGGACCGCAGGGGGGGACCGCAGAGAGGGCCCCGCAGGGGGGGCCGCACAGGGGGCCCGCAGTGGGGGGAACCGCAGGCGGGGGGACCGCAGGGGGGACGGGATGAGGCCCGGCCAGCGCCTGAGAGCAGGCCGCAGCTCCGGCGTTGGCAGCGCGCCCTGGGAAGTGCAGCCAGGTCGAGGAGCCTGGAGGCGCCAGTCCGAGGCGAGACTCCGCTCATCCTGGAAGGAGACTCGGGAGGGAACCACCTTTTTGCCAAGTGGGGCAGAGGACATAGATACCAGCCTGGAGATACAGGGCCTCTGGGTAGGAGGTGACATGTCTGGCAGAAACCAGGGGCGGTCTGAAAACAGTCTGAGATAAGGGCACCACCCAGGCAAAAGTGAGAGGTAGGAACAATATGGTTTCCACACTCATCCTCTATTTGAACTCTTGGCTCATGCCCTCCCTCAGCATCTCAAGATGCTAGACATCCAATAGGCTGCAGGATTTCACCCTTTACACAGGAAAAGTTGAGTTCTCAAAGCGCTACTGAAACACTCGTACAGGTCTAAAGCCCTGGTCCCACACCAGCCACCATTGCTGGTACCGTGATACTGAGACCTTCATGGTCAAACCTGCTCATTATGATGAGAAGAACCTAGGACCAGATATAGATACATATGTGTATGTACATATATAGAGATACATATGCACATACAGATAGATTGATGATGTACAGGGAAGAGGGCCTACTTGGGCACCTGTGACACTCCTGAGAGCATACTCGAGCCCACTGTAACTCCTTTTGTTCCTGAGGTTAGGGTTTCTTGGCCTTTTCCTCCAGGAAGGTCTCCTGGTCATCTTAGGGTAGACAATCAGAGCCCCTAAAGCTTACATTCTGTTGGCTGTTCTGTCTTGAACTCCCAGGAAGCCCCCATCCTTCCATCCTTCCGTGCAGCTTGGTTGGCAAGTCACACACTCTGAGGCCTGGCCCAGGCAAAATAATCCTGGTGAGCCACTTTCAAGGACTTTTCCTCCCAATGTGTCAGGATGCTCTGGAGCCCAAAGGCAGAGTCTGGAAGTGGAGACTGTGGCTTCAAAGAGGTCACCCGAAATCCCCACAGGAATCCTTTCTGCCCCTCCCTTTCAGATTAACCGAAACCTGCTAATTGTGGCAACCTCCAAAGGTTCCCCTCCCCCACAGCCTCTTTCTCCTTTCCCCTCCCCCTTTCATCCGAATGATAAAGGACCAGCCCGCCAGCCTGGCTTCAAACTCTGGCCCTGCCTCAGCACTCTACCTCAGCACTTTGAGCCCTTCAGTAGATCTCGATCCAGCTTAAGTTGCCTGCCTCCCCTGCATGGGGCCTTGTGACTCCAGCCTGGGGCCCCGAGAGGCAGAGTCAACCTCAAAGCCACCCAAGAGGAAGAAGAAGAGATACCTGCGACATGACAAGCCCCCGTACACCTACTTGGCTATGATCGCCTTGGTGATTCAGGCTGCACCCTCCCGCAGGCTGAAGCTGGCCCAGGTGAGCTCCCTCACACTTGGTGGTCAAGCCTTTCCCTGACCCATTCTCCCAGCAACCCAAGGACCAGGCTTGGCTTTTACCTCCACCTAGTCTTTCTGCTACCAAGACAGGTCCTGAAAGCTGAGTTACTCAGGGGACACCCTTCTCTCAGAACTGCAGGCCTGTAGGCCTAGAAGTGTTCCCTTGTGAGGTGGGGAGGGTGCTGGGTAACCCCTGAACTGAGTGAGGGCTGGGGTGGTCCTCAATCCTGCTCACAGCCCTGGCTGCAACCTGGTTTCAGATCATTCGTCAGGTCCAGGCCATGTTCCCCTTCTTCAGGGATGACTACGAAGGCTGGAAGGACTCCATCCGCCACAACCTTTCCTCCAACCCGTGCTTCCGCAAGGTGGGACAGAAAGGGGTCAGAGCCCAAGGGGAGGGGTGGGCAGGGAGGCCCTCCCTACTCAAGCCTACCTCTCCACACACACAGGTGCCCAAGGACCCTTCGAAGCCACAGGCCAAGGGTAACTTTTGGGTGGTGGATGTGAGCCTGATTCCGGCCGAGGCACTGCGGCTGCAGAACACTGCTCTGTGCCGGCGCTGGCAGGACCACCGTGCACACAGAGCCTTTGCCAAGGACCTCAGCCCCTATGTGCTTCAAGGCAGGCCTTACCCCCCGCCCAGTCCCCCACCACTCCCGAGGGAGGGCTTCAGCATCAAGTCCCTGCTAGGGGATCCCAAGGAGGGGGTAAGCTGGCCCCAGCAGTCCACCCAGGTCAGACAGAGCAGCCCAACTCAAGCAGGCACAGGGTCCCCTAGGGAGGAGGTGGTACCCACCCCACCCCTGTCCTCTGAGAGGCCTCTGTGGCCCCTCTGCCCTTTCCCAGGGCCCACTAGAGTAGAAAGGGAAACTCCACAGGGGCCAGTCATTCGGCCATCACCTCTCTCCCCAGAGCCCAGTACCTGGCCCCTCCACTTACTGCAGGATACCCCAGACCCTGAGGGACTGTCCAGCAGGAGACAAAGGGCCTCTCTGTGGGGACAGCTGCCTACCTCCTACTTACCCATTTATACTCCGAATGTGGTAATGCCTTTGGCCCCACTACCACCCACCTCCTGTCCTGGGTGCCCACCTTCAAGTAATCCAGCCTACTGGGGGGTAGCTCCTGAATCCCAGGGGTCCCAGGGGCTGCTCTGGGATCTGGACTCTCTCTTCCAGGGAGTGCCACCCAACAAGAGCATCTATGATGTATGGGTTAGCCACCCTTGGGACCTGGCTTCTTCTGCCCCAGGCTGGCTGCTCTCCTGGTACAGCCTTTGAAGATTCTTGGACAGGGACTGCTTTTCTCTTATCCCCAGCTTGAGGGTAAACCTAGTTTAGGAAAGTCTCAAATAGCTACAACAATCTTGAAGCAGCAGGCATGGCCTTGCTGAGAATCCTGCTTTATTGGGTTGGTGGTCCAGCAGGTACACCTGACCCTTGTCAGTTATGCCTCTGCCTCCCCCAGCCCCAGGGGCAGAGCTGGAGAAGCGGGTTCAGCCTGGGGTAGCCCTTCTTGGTCCCATCTTCTCAGGCTCACACACCATCTATCTGTCCATCCATCACTATCTGTCACCTCCTCTCCCGGGCTCCAGGCTGGGGGAGGGACAGTTGAATGAGTCCAGGCTGAAGTCCTTCCTGCCCTCCCTCAACTGTCTGGGAAGGAGGTAGCACCTTTTGAGGAAATATTTAAGAAATGAAGACACAACCCTACATAACTCTTGGGGTGATGCTGGTTGGGGAGATAACAGTAAAGGAATTTACAGCATTTTAATTTCAAGTCTGATTTGGGGGCAGGGATCCTGACTTGGGAAGCCACTTGGCCAGTCTGAGTCCTGGTTCCTGCAGCTCTGGGATCTCCTGCTGTGGACTGTGATAACAGGCAAATGGTGATAAGGAGAGCCGCGGGCTCTGGTCAGCTGGGGGGAGGGGGCAGTTATTTCTCCAGACATAACTCTGCTGGCTAAGAAGTGGGGGGCAATTCGACATTAGAGGGAGCAGTAGATCCCCAGGGGGCAAAGAGGTTACTGGGAGATGGGGTGTAGGAGCTTTTCTACCACCTCTGCCGGCAGAGGCGCTACCTCAGCCCCACCCACCCCAGGCAGGGCTTCTACCCAGGACTACGGAGGTGGGATCCCCGGGGCGGAGAGATCCAAGCCAGAGCCACTGCCCGGGCTGTGGCTTGGAGGGCTGCCGGGTGACGGCGTAGGAGTGCAGGGAGTTCCAGTGAGTGGGGTGTCAGTACTAAGGGAGGAAGGAGTCCCAGAGCCTGGGGCTCTGTGGCGCCGGGCTGGACCCAGTTCCACCTGACCCACTCGCTCGGCAAACTTGAGTGAGCAGACGGTCTCCCCGAGGTCTTCTGGCCGCGTGGAGATCTGCAAGGGAGCAGAGATGGTGGGTGGGAGGGTTCCCTGGGTGGTGCCTGCCAGGCAGACGACCCTCCTAAGCCCCGCGCCACGCTGACCCACCTGCAGGAGCAGGACTGCCGTGGTGCCTGGGCCCAGCGCCGGCTGAAGCAGGCGCGTGAGCTTGGAGTCTCGGAAGGGCACGTGTGGCCGCCGAGCGCGCAGGGCAGCCATCACACCCCCAAGTGCCAGCAGCGAGCGGTTGATAGTCTGGGCCTCTCGAAGACGCCGGGGGCCATGCAGGTCTCCCCTTGGCACGCTTGCTGCACCCAGCTTCCATGCGCGCTCAGATCCCGCCAGGTCTACCAGGTGCAGCGTGCCTGTCGGGGATGTGCAAGACAGATGTGGAGACCGGCCAGACGTGTGAGACCTGTGGTGCACGGGAAAACCCCGGCGCTCGGCGCTGTACCTGCAGTGCCCTGAGCACAAGGAGCAGCGGCAGAGCACAACCGGAGCGTGACCAGGGCGTGGGAGCGGGAACTATGCTGGTTCATAGCAGTTGCAGCTGTGGCCCGGTTGCTCCTCCCCAGACTCAGCATCTAGAAAGAGCAGTCAGGGCTGGCCTGATGTGGGGTTCTCACCCCCCAGCACAAGGACAGACCCTGGAGGGCAATCTTACCTGGTGTAGGGTCTCTAGGTCCGGCACATCCCAGTGCGTGAGACCAGCCACCTGGACCCCACCCTGGCCTGCTGGCCCCTGCCTCACCACCAGGTGCGCTGGTGGTCCTGGGGCCAGGAGATCCCTGGTGAGAAAGGGGGTAAGCTTGGTGGCTCTGCCCGGCTCTAGGAATGGCCACAGAGGCCCTAGGCCAAACAGGAAGTGGTCCCCCGGGGCAGCCAACCTGACTGCCTCATTGTAGATCTCCACCATGCTGAGGGTCACTCGGTGCTGGCCTCCAGTCTCCATTTCCTGGAACAGTGACTGCAGAGCCCGAGGGGCTATGCCAGGGTCCTCAGGTGGGCCCTAGGGATAGTGCAGTCCCACACTGGATTCACAGCCAAGTACCCAGGGCCTTGCCCTCCAAGCTGAGGTTCTAACTCACCTCCATGCTGTAGGTCTTCCCAGACCCAGTCTGACCATAGGTGAAGATGCAGACACTGTAGCCTCTGAGGCAGGACAGCACAGCTGGCTCTAGCTGACTAAACACCTAAGGGCAAAAGGGGTGGGAAAATGTCTTGGTCCCTTATTTCCTGTTCAGAACCTGGAAAGGTAAGAAGTGCAATATAAGGTGAATGGAGTATATCTTGCCTGAGAAGTAACTCTAAGAGACCACAGTAGGTCACAGAGGAGACTCTACCTCCCTAGAAAAGGTGATAATTTCATTATTGTTATTTGAGTGTGTGTGTGTGTGCACGCACATGTGGATGCTGGTTCTGGGATTTGAACTCAGCCTGGGCACTGTCCCTGAGCTTTTCCTAAAGGCAGTCCTCTACCACTTGAACCACAGTGCCACTTCCAGCTCTTTCTGAGTTCATTGGAAGTAAGAGTCACACTGTCTTTTCTGCCTGGGCTGGCTTCAAACTGAGATCCTCATATCTCGGTTTCCTGAGTAGTTGGGTTTACAGGCATGAGCCACCAGCATCAGGCAAAAGGTGATTTTTTTTTTTTTTTTTGTCGGTCATGGGGCTTGAACTCTGGGCCTGGGCGCTGTCCCACAGCTCTTCAGCTCAAGGTGAGCGCTCTACCACTTGAGCTACAGCGCCACTTCCGGTTTTCTGGTGGTTTTATTGGAGATAGGAGTCTCACGGTCTTACGTGCCCGGGCTGGCTTTGAACCGCGATCCTCAGATCTCAGCCTCCTGAGTAGCTAGGATTACAAGCATGAGCCACCAGCGCCCGGCAAAAGGTGATTTTTTTTTAAGAATTAGCCAGGCAAGAGCTGGGGATGTGGATTAGTGGTAGAGTGCTTGCCTAGCATGCATGAAACCCTGGATTCAATTCCTCAGTATCACATACACAGAAAAGATTGTAAGTGGCACTGTGGCTCAAGTGGTAGAACACTAGCCTGGAACAAAAAGAAGCTCAGGGACAGTGCCCAGGCCCTGAGTTCAAGCTCCAGGACTGGCAAAAAAAAAAAAAAAAAAGAATTAACCAGGCAAAAAAGGGAATAGCATATAGAGAATGTAGGATCCCAACACTACGTAGGAGATTCTGGCAGTAGCAGTTGAGGGCCAGATGCTGGGGCCTGATTGCCTAACACAAACTAGGCATTTACTCCTCATCCTTGAAGCCAGTTACTGTCCATCCTTTCTGCCTATTCCCCTCTGTAGCACCTATTTTGAGGGCTAACAGGCAAAGTGCCAGCCAGTCAGGGTCAGGGCAATACAAAGGATGTGCTCCAAAAAGGCGTGTGGTTGTGAAGGATAGTGGTCAGCCAAGACTGTTGGAGCCCGGTCCCTGAGAGGTGAAGAGAGGCTGAGGTAGGACATGCAGCTGGGACATTCATCCTTTGACAACTGGTTACAGTAGCAGCCTTCTGAGGGAAAAAGAATTCCTGATGGGGCAAAAGAATCACTGTGAATGTTGATGCAGAAATGAAAACACAGGTGAAGTGTTTCCTAGCAGATGCCTCTGGTCCAGACATTAGATAGAGGACCCTGTCCAGAAGAGCTATGGCAGTGGACAAGAGAAAGGGGGAGGGGGCAGTGCAGAACTGTAGTTTGGGGTGGAGCTGAGGCTGGGGAACTCATGTGACAGAAGACAGGTAGATGCAAAGTGAGTCAGTACTGGGCCCTCTGCCCTTGCCTGCCCATCATCATCTGACACCTGCAAGATCAGCTGGTGAATAGTCTATTACCTAATCCAGCTCAGCTACAGGAACTCCAGAGGCACTGTATGTGCAAATGCAAAACAAGTTGGTGGGCTGGGACATGAGCCACTGCTTTTCTACTGATATCTAGCATGTAAATGGGATGCTCCTACAAGAGTTAGGTTCTGCCCCTACAGGTAGACAGTCTGAATCCTCAGGAGGAGTGGTCAGCCCGCGAAGCTTGAGGGGAGGATGTACTAAGCCAGCACCTGTGGGAGAACTGTCCTCTACCACTAGCGTCCAGCCGTGCTCTACAGCCAGCTCTACCAAGCAATAACTGTCACCTCAAACAGGTTCGTGCTCCTTAACACCCAGCTGAGTGGCCAGTCCTGCCTCCCAGGTATTCTAGTAGTTCCATTCCCTGCTGGAGCCCAGCTACCTTCCCTTTTTTAGGTGGACAAACAGACAAGTGAAGGAGAAATGGGACTCTTTTGGACTTGTAAAGTTCAGGACAGGTGAAGAAAGCAGATGTCACCTCCTCCTGACTGGCATCTGGGGGGAAAACCCAGTCCAAGCAGAAGCGACGCTGGCGCCCTCTATAGCAGGTGGTGATGGTGCCAGCAGGTCCAGGCTCCAGGCTCACCAGGCTAGAGGGTGTTCCGGGCCTCAGCCGACACAGGACGCGGATGTTTCCTGAAGTGGAGATCAGATCGGCAGATGGCTTCCTTGGCCCTGCAGCCTGGAGAGGCTAGACTTCCTCCAGCCTGCTCTTCCCCATTGCTCCCTGCCCCAAGCCACCATACCCTTGAGCTCCAACAGACGCCCTGGGCCTCCCGTTGGGGGCCTCTGATGCCCCTCAGGATGCTGAGCCACAGCTTTTTCAGATGACAGTGCCCCCAAGGCCCAGGACACCTGAGGAAATAGGGATGTAAGGGAGGTAAAGACAGGTCTCCAGGCTGCTCCAAGTATAGTGGGGTGCTGAGAGCAAGAGAGAGTCACTGTGTGGCCACCAACTATGGTGGTCTACAAGTTCTCATGGCTTTCAGCCCCAGTGGGTCTGAGATGGAACCCAGTAATCTTAGGTAAGGACATTACATCATCTGTCCCTCTGCGTTTCTCAGCAATTCAGTTTCACAGAACAGTAACAGTGGGCCAACAACTGACCCACTGATGCATACCACTTCCCAAGGCTCAGAGGAAGAGATAACAGGGGCTCTCCCAGGAAGAACAATGAGAAGACTACCCATAGACACCAGGGAAGGAGGGAGCCTAACCTGACCCTGGGCCTCACTCAGTGAGCCCTGGCAGCTTTGGGTAAAGGTGCTGACCAGTCCTCGGAGGTCCCCGCAGCCCTGACGAAGGCTGGCCATCCGTGCTCGAAGTCCTGGAGGAGGATGGCTGTTGAGAAGGAAAGCCCAAACCACAGGGCAGTTCCAGCCCTCTGCCCCCAGCCCTTACCTGCCAGCTGCCCATGCACCTGTTGTAGCTCCCGTCTGCAGTTCTGCTCTGTCTCCTGCTGGAGCTGCTGAAGGGCCCCTCGAAGGCCCTGCAGCTGCACCTCCTGAACTCCCAGCTGCCCCACCCAACCCCGCCCGTCACTGAGGAAACAGGCACTTGCCAGACCCTACCTCAGATGCCCCCTCCCAGTGTCTCAGCCCTCTTTATCTGTAGGACCCAAGCCCACCTGGACTCGGAGGGCTTCTGTGGTGTCTTGGGCCTCCTGAAGCCGGCCCTGGAGCTCCAACAGAGCCTCTGCCTCCTCCTGCAGGAGGGTGGGGGCTAGGTGGGCCGCAGAGCCAGTTAGGAACTCGGGAAGGGGAATTCTGTGGGTCCATCTCACAGACAGGAAGGCCAAATCAAAAGTACTCAGAACAGCTGAACCCATGACTCCCAGATCCCTGCAGGGAGTTCCCCTAGTTCCTCTGCTTTCCTGGGATCACTGAGAGACATCATTAAAGAGGGTTCTGCAACTTATATATCAACTTCCTGAGAGGCTGCCCTGCAAAGGCCATCCCAGGGCACCCCTGACAGGGCCTGCTACAGAAAACACCAAGTCCTGAGGGGGCTTAGGCATTGTCGGTGGATGACAGATGTGCTGTAGAAGCCTGGGCTTCAGGAATGGCAGCAGTCAGGGAGCAGGGTACCTGCTGAGGCCTGGTAGAGGGGCTCGGGCCCCAGTGTAACAGGAGGTCTCGCGTGAGGCTCAGGCTCTGTTTTAAGGCCTCATTCTCCAGTGTGAGATGCTGAACCCTTTTTTCTGAATCCGTTGCCCCCTGCAGAGAGAAAGAGAGGGAAGCCCTCAGGACCTACCTAGAACTCCAGTCCTCCTGCCTGCTCCAGCCCCCCAGCAGCCTCACCGCTCCCAGGCGCAGGCGGCCCAGCTCTTCCTCCTGCTGCTCTAGCTGCTGCCGCAGCTCTTCCACCTGCAAAGAGCCAAGACAGAAGGGAACTCCTTTTGGGAAGGAGCTCCCACTCCCCAGTTCCTGCAGCTCTTGGGTCCCTCACCTGTCCAAGGATGAGCTGCTCTAGCCGCTGCCAAGCCCTCTGCTCTTCCTCCAACTGAGAAGGCTGCCGTCCCTGGGCCTCACCCGTGGGTGCCTCATTGAGGACAGGGGTGGGACAGGAGGGGTTTTCTTCTGGTGACAGAGATCCTGGAAATGAGTAGGATTGAGAAGGTGACTGTCCTGAATCCTGAGGAGCACAGCTGGGCTTAGGACTCCTTATTCCAGGCAGCCCACGTTCTGACAGACCTCCTCCCACAGGCTGTACCCCTTACAAACCATCTATGGTGGGGAGCTGCACTGGCAAGGCTGGCTGCGTTCCCTGAAGCAGAGCCTGCCTTCCCCTGGGGCTCCGAATCCATGTCAGAAGGGCCAAGAGCTGACTGGTCAAGGTCAACAGCGGAGGGACCTCACCAGGCTGTGGAGGACAGTAAGAAGAATAAGAGAGGGGCTGGGAAGGTGGCTCAGTGGTAGAGCGCTTGCCTTGCATGCATGAGGCCCTGGGTTCAATTCCTCAGCACTACATAAGCAAAAAGAAAAAAGCCGGAAGTGGTGCTGTGGCTCAAGTGGTAGAGCGCCTTGAGCTGAAGAGCTGAGGGACAGCGCCCAGGCCCAGAGTTCAGGCCCCACGACCGGACCCCCCCCAAAAAGAAGAAGAATAAAAGAAGAAAGCTGGGCACCTGTGGCTTACTCCTGTCATCCTAGCTATTCAAGAGACTAAGAGTTGAGGATCGTGGTTCAAAGCCAGTTGGTCAGGGAAGTCTGTGAGACTCTTATCTCCAGTTAACCACCAGACAAGGGGTGCTGTGACTCAAAGTGGTAAAGAGCTAGCCTTGAGTAAAAGCTCAGGGACAGAGCCCAGGCACTGAGTTCAAGTCCCACCATCGATCAACAAGCAGATAGATGATAGATAGATAGATAGATAGATCGATCGATCGATCTAGAGGAGTGGTGGCTGGAGCAGCCTGTGCCCGCTCACCTGGTCTTGGTTGGGAGGGTTCGCACAGCCCTCCTCTGCCCCCAGCTGGACGGAGAGGAACTCGGCAAGGCGCAGGAGGGCTTCCTCCAGGGAAACCTCGGCAGGCCGGCCCTCAGCTCGCGCCTCCAGACCATCCTGGGCCTCGGAGCGGCCTGCGAGGCGGCGCGCGGGGGAGGGGTCCGTGTCACGTGCGGGAGGGTGGGGCTGCTCTCCCCCCAGTGAGGTCACCCCCTCTCCGGCAGGGCTACCCCACCCCCCAGGGCTCCGAGGCCCCCCTTCCCTACCGGCCAGGCCGGTCAGCTCGGTCCACAGCTCCGACGAGAGCTGATCCGGGTGACGACGACCCCTGGGCTTGCATCCGGCCCCCTAGAGAGAGCGGGGGCACCCCTAGGAGGGAGCGGGGGCCCGCGACGGGCTCCTGCCCCCCGGAGCCCGGCCGAGGGCTGCGGCCGGCCCCTGCTCCCCACCCCCGGAGGATGGTCCTGAGGCTGGCGAGGAGCGTACTTTTCCCGGGTCGCCTTTCCCTCCCTCGCGAAAGTCGTGTGTGC